AAAAAAAAAAAAAAAGAAATAGAATACATGTTTACATGTTGATGGGGGCATTTATTTTAGGGCAGATGACCTGTATAGGGACCAGAGAAAGCCCTTCATGCATTTGGAAGGTCGGCTTGGTCACCATCCTTCTCTTCCCAGATCTGAGTTATCCAGAAGATCCTGGCTGTGGTAAATCTGAGGTGGTCGGTTCCTCACAGAAGTGATCCCAAGATTTGGCTCCAGTTTGACTAGGTACCAAGACATTGTCCGTCCAAGGAGGCTGATTGTACTTGAGACTGACCTATAGGACTAACTATGTTCTGGGCACAGCTCACTTCAGAATAGGTGAACTCCCATGTGTCAACACGACCAGGGCCAATCCCAGATCAGGCCATTCTCCTAAAGGCTCCCTAGAGGAGAAAGCACAGTCTGTCACCAAGAGTTTGTCTTAAAGTTGTGCTGAGCCCTATATCCTGGTTAACTAAAACCAGTGAATCTGGGGGTGCCTGGGTGACTCAGTCTGTTAAATGTCTGCCTTCGGCTCAGGTCCTGATCTCCAGGTGCTGGGATCAGCCTGCATCAGACTCCCTGCTCAGCAGGGAGTCTGCTTCTCTCTCTCTGCCTCTCCTTTGCTCCTGCATGTGTGTTCTCACTCTCTCTCTCTCTCAAATGAATAAATAAAAACCTTAAAGAAAAAAACATGAATCCGATCACCATAGCCATAGAGAAAATCGCAATTCTGGAGTTTGGTCTGTGGGCAGGGTTCTTTCTCTTTTTCACACCTCTTTCAGTATCGGGGTATCATAATCATAGGCAGCAGAAACACAGTCAAAACACATAAATATCTGGAGCTTAATGGTTTTTCATCCATAACTGACCATCCTACCCAAGAGCCTTCTGGGAAATGGAATTCCTATGACAACATTAACCTTTCCACTCTGCTTTTAAGATTTCCACCTACCAAACCTCCTGAATGCCTTGCATAAATCCCAGGGGCAGCACCCTAGACTAAAATAACTTCTAGGCCCAGGACATAGAAAGCCATTAGCAACTCCACTGGAAACAGATTACCATATTAACCACAGACAATGGAAGCCATATAAAGAGCATTCTAGGAGAAAGAAAGGATGGCATCTGATATCAGATCTGCCTGTCTTATGACCAGCCTCGCAAAAGACTGCAGTGCCCCAGAAAGGCCGGCCAGAATTCGACAGCTGCTTCTAGCAGGGCTGTGGTATTAAATTCCTCTCCAGTCAGAGCTAAGGGAAGGGGAGCCCTCACTATTTATATGCAAGGATCCAGCGATCTTACACCTAGCCCACATTATTGGAGTCCTAGTTACGCATTCAAGTCCCTCCCTGGAAATCCGAAAACCTGGGGTCTAGTTTGGTTCTGCAGCTGAGTGATCTTGGCTATGTCATTTAATCTTTCCAGGTCTTGGTTTCCTCATTTGTTGAAGAAAAGAGGTAATTTCTAAAATTCTGTGAGCTTTCCACGACTTCACTATAAAATTACAGCAGATATCTCAAGTTTCCTCATGTAAAATAGGGTTAATCAAACCGGCAAGGTGGTCATACAGATTTAAAATATTCTATGTGGGGGGACCTGGGTGGCTCAGTCGGTTAAGTGTCCGACTCTTGATCTCAGCTTAGGTCTTGATCTCAGGACCATGAGTTCAACCCCCATGTTGGGCTCCACACTGGACGTGGCGCCTACTTAAGAAAAAAAACATGTATCCTATTGAGTAAGGGATAGGTGGGGCTAGGTAGGGAGAGATAGGTAGGGGGCTACATGACTAGGCTCACGCAGGGGGCTACGTGTTCAGGTTCATAGAAATCCTCGATGTGGAAAATGCTAAGGCGTACAAAACCAGAGATAAGGGAATATAATGAGACTAACAAGAGTACCTCGTTTGTCTTAAATGTCAGAGACAAGATATCTCTGTAACAGCTACAGCTGGACCACTGAAAATTACCAAACGTCAAAGAAAAAGTAAACATCGTGGTCTTAGTGGTAGAGACATCAAGATTTAAGTTCCCTAGTCAGTTCCCAATAAAAGACTACCAGGAAAGCTCACAGTGGCAACCCATTCGGGACCCCTCTCACTCTAGAAAGCTTTTTTCTTTCCTTTCTGTTCCCCCCTTCACTAAATAAACTCACTTCACTTCACTTCACCCTTTTGTGTCCGCGAGATTCATTCTTCGACTCCGTGAGACAAGAACCCTGCAATCCTGTAACACTATGTGTATGGAAAGGAAAAAAATAGTAACTTTACTTTGCAGAAACCTGGTAGATTCCACCTTAGCCAGATGATCAAGATTGCTGTCACCTGGGCGCCTGGGTGGCTCAGTTGGTTAAGCGACTGCTTTCGGCTCAGGTCATGATCCTGGAGTCCCGGGATCGAGTCCCGCATCGGGCTCCCTGCTCAGCGGGGAGCCTGCTTCTCCCTCTGACCCTCACCCCTCTCATGTGCTCTCTCTCTCTCATTCTCTCTGTCTCAAATAAATAAATAAAATCTTTAAAAAAAAAAAAGATTGCTGTCACCTGTGATAAAACACAGGTATATCATGTACCCCCAAATGAGAAGGGCATATGACCACTGTGATATTCTTTCCCCAAATCCATAACCTGTCTAATCAAATGAAAAACATCAAACTCAAGTTGAGGAATATTGTATAGCATGCCTGCCAAGTACTCTTCACCAGTCCCAAGTCATGAGACAAAGACTGTGGAACCATCAGAGATGGGAAGATCCTGGGGAGACATCACAGTTAAATGCAGTGCAGGAGCCCGAATCGGAGCCTGTAACAGAAGAGGAAAAAACAAAACCATTAGTGGAAACACTAAAGAAATCAAAATAATGTCTTTTGTAGATTAGTTAATAGTATTTTACCAGCATTAATTTCTTAGTTTGAATCACTGTACCATGGTTATGTAAGGTGTAAACATTAGGGGAAGCTGGGTGAAAGGCATACGGAAACTCTTACCATCTTGCAACTCTTTTGTAAATCTAAAATTACTTTAAAATTAAAAGTTTTGAAAGCTATATGCAGTGGCTAACTCACAGCAGGCACTTAATGAATGATGGGTGTTATAAGCAAATGCATTGCTTCCAATAGAGTTAAATCAAAGAAATATTTATTGTTGGAAGAGAGTGATACGAAGCCATTAGCTGGCCGTGTTGGTGCCGGAGGAACCATTCCAATCACAGATATTGCATGATGTTGGCTGAAATATGTTATAAAAACTAGTTCTTTATCCTTGAAGAGACTTCTGGGAATTGAAATGTGCAGCTCTTCACATGCTCATTCCCTGCCCTTTGTCCTTGGGCCCAGATTGGATTTCTCCCAGAAAGCAGGAGTTTCTACAGCTACTAACAAGCTGAATAAACCTTGTTTTTTAGACCTGCTAATCTGAGAGGGGGTTTTATCCACAACAATCGTTAAAGCAAAATGAATAGCACCTTGCACGCCATGTGTTTGATATTCCCATCCTACTATGACAATAGGCTCATTTTATCACATGCTCATGTTAGTTACTAAGTTACTTGGTGAGACAGCCAAGGAAAGCAAGGTCAGAGGGTGTGTGGCCCAGAGACAGCTCCTCCCCCCGGGACAAATAAGCCAAGATGCTTTGATTGCATTAGCAAAGCAATAAGAAGGGTAAGAAATTTCTCCTCACATAGGGACATTTCATTCAACAGATAGACAATACATATTTATTAAAAGCTTTCAATGTGCTTAACCCTGACAGTGGAATGGGGACCCAGGGCCCAGCTTCACAGAGCTTACTGTCTTGTAGGGCAAACAGGAAGCTCAATGAGCAGAAACAATAAAATGTGGGTGGGTGCCGTGAAATTTCAAGATGGTATGGAACAGTGGGCTGGGACTCAAACGTTTGAGGGTGGAGAAAGGAAACTTCTCCCACTCTGCTTTCCATGTCATTGTTGAGTTTGAGAGTGGAAGTCAGTCTTTTTAGAGGCTCTTTTAGTGTAGTAAGATAGGCATGCTCTGATTAGAGACACTGTGACCATGTGATCCTGAGCAGATTACACATATCCCAGTGTTGTACACATGGGAAATATTCAGTAAATGCTCAGAGACCGAATGCTGATCTGCACCAATGAGTGACTCTAATGCAACCTGATCTAACCCCAAAATAATGTTAAATTTAGGTCACCTCTAACAACAACATTTGTTGAGTGCTTAAGACAATCCTGGCATTATTTTAAGTAGTTTACATAAATTGTTTAATTTTTATGACAACTCAATAACAGAATGACTATCCACATACCCACTCTATAGGTGAGAAAACTGAGACATAGGAAAAAAGGAAGAAGTAACTCACCTCAAGTTATACAGGCACAGCCAGCAAGCAACGAGCCCAGACTTTGAACCCAGGCGGTCAGCCTTCAGGCTGCCCTCCCCTATCCTGCCTCTCTAAGAGTAGTAGTAAAGGTCCTTGGGCATTTCCTTAGGGGACAGGAGGACAGGCTGAGGGTCCCTACGAGCAGCAGCTCCAGACACAGGGCTCCTCAAAGCTGCAGCCCCAGCGACCATGAGCCTGGTAGTCCTCCCTGTTTTCAGCTGTCACTTCCCACCTTCTCTCATAGCCTCTAGCCTTGGGCTGGTGAGACTGGTCACGTGGGAGCCGGCAGGGCTACAGTCTAGGACAAGCCCCCACTGAGCCACACGTGGAATGTAGCCATCTCCTGACGGCCCGGGTAGTAGCCACCATGGGTACAACACAAGGCGGAGGACACCAGGCACACAGTTCCCTTCCCCAGAGCCACTTGTGTTCTTATCTGAGAGCCCTGAAACCAACTCTTTTGGAATGACATCCCCCCGGGACTCAAGAGGCAACGCGATTCAGTGACCAATTCCACCTTCTGACTCAGATGCCTAATGTGACGTGCCTGCATAGTCTACTCAGGGGCACTCTTTGTAGCACATTTGGTCCAGTATTTATTTGGGGGGTGAGGAGAGACAAGAGGTATCTAGGTCAAGTGGGCAAGAAAGAGACAGGCATTTTTCTCAACTGGGGACTCTGCAGAGTGGCATTTTCCACCCAGACAGTTCCACGGGACGCTGACACCATAACATTCTAGAAGAGATGCCAAACCCAACTGAATAATGTTCTGATAACCTAGAGTTTTAGAACGTAAAGATTATGTTCTCAACGATGTCTAGAATATCCTCCTAGAATTCAGGATCTCACATTCACTCTGGCTACCTTTTTTCTCAATATTGTTCTGCAGTCACGTGGTGGCCGATGGGGGGACGATCTGCCTACGTGCCGACTCAATAACGCATCAGCAGTTCTTGGCTAATTTTCAGCATCCAATCTCCTCAAATATTCCCCTTTCGTCTCCTGATAACACCAGCACTCAACGACAACGCGGGAACGTCCCTCGCCGGGTCCTTCTCGCTCCACCACGCCGTCTGGCTGCACGCTAGCCTCCCGGGCTCTCATACTCATAATCTTCCTTCATGTCTATTTTTAGTTTTCCTGGCTCAAGCTTCTCCAGGCCAGTGAAACACAAGCCTCCCTCTCCCCTCCGCCTCTCCCTCTGGCATGCGAGCTGCAGGCAGGAGCCCCCAGGTAAACACCGCCGCCGAAACCCTCTAGTGCTCCTGCCTCAGGAAAACCTCCGACTTAGGGATCACGGCTCGGCTTTTAGGATGGACAGAAGCTGGATGACCTTCTGATGGGCTTTAGCTCCGGGTGTGGATGTGGACGTTTTTCTCTCAGATGACAGAATCACTCCAACTTCCCCTTGGCCATTGCTTCCTTCCCTTGCAGGTAGCTGGATCTTGTTTTCCTTAAAAAACCTTTTCCTTCCAAATTTGCCTGCCATGCCAACTGTCATTAGCGCATCTGTGGCCCCACGGACGGGGGCGGAGCCCAGGTCCCCCGGGCCGATTCCCCAGCTGGGCCAAGGCAAGACCACCGAGGCCGGGGGCGCAAACCCAAGTGGCATCTATTCGGCCATCATCAGCCGCAATTTCCCCATTATTGGAGTGAAAGAGAAGACATTTGAGCAGCTTCGTAAGAAATGTCTAGAAAAGAAGGTTCTTTATCTGGATCCCGAGTTCCCACCAGATGAGACCTCTCTCTTTTACAGCCAGAAGTTCCCCATCCAGTTCATCTGGAAGAGACCTCCGGTGAGTAGCTCGCAGGCTTGGGGTTTTTTTTTCCCTCCGAGAAGTCCTCCCCATCAGCACCTCCCCGCAGCTCCACAGTGCACATGGGCAGGAGGGGGAAGGATCCTGGCAGCCCCGTGGGCTCTGTCCTCAGCGGAGGCCAGGCCCATTCTCACTCTCTTGCTCTCTTTTTCTGAAAAACATCTTGCTTTGTATAAAAGTAATGGGAACTCAGTTTAATTCATCCTATAAAAGTAAGCATCCCTTTCCCAGAACAAGTCTTTGTAAGAGTCTTTCCATTTCTCGGGCTAAAATCATGATGTTGTTCCTTAGTTTGTCAGTAGCCATGACTTTCTGCAACACAGAAGCCCTGGAAAGAGGAGAGTAGCCAGCAAAGACCACTTTTTCTAGCATTAAATGTTAGGATGAGAAGAAATCCTAGCAATCATTTTTGTCCACATACCTCACCCCACAAACGAGAAGGGCACACAGAAGAAGTACATCCAGAGAGGGCATGACAGCCCGGATTAAAACCCCTTCTCTTTAGGTAACTCTTCCAGCCTCCAGGTTTCATTTATAGTGATCTATCAGACCGAAAATCCTATCCCCCTACTCCCCTCTCTGATCAGACCTCCCATATGACTCTTATTCTTAATTCAAGGAATTTATTGGGCATCTGCTAGAGCCAGAAAGTGGGCAATTGACTGAGGAGACAACAGTGAACAAGAAAGACAAAAATTGGGGCACCTGGGTGGCTCAGTCGGTTAAGCATCCAGATCTTGATTTCGGCTCAGGTCATGATCTCAGGGTCCTGGGATGGAGCCCCACATTGTCGTGGTCGGGGGGCTCTGCGCTCAGCAGGGAGTCTGCTTGAGATTCTCACTCTCCCTCTGCCCCCCCCCTTGCTCACTCCCCGCCCCAAATAAATAAATAAATCTTTTAAAAAAGAAAGAAAAAGGGGCGCCTGGGTGGCTCAGTTGGTTAAGCGACTGCCTTCGGCTCAGGTCATGATCCTGGAGTCCCGGGATCGAGTCCCACATCGGGCTCCCTGCTCAGCAGGGAGTCTGCTTCTCCCTCTGACCCTCCTCCCTCTCATGCTCTCTCTCATTCTCTCTCGCAAATAAAAAAAAAAAAATTAAAAAAGAAAGAAAAAGAAAAATTCCTGCTGTCCTGGAGTCTAGAATCCTGAAGGGAAGGCTGTCAAGAGAGAACATTCAAATACTATGGGATCACAAGACAAGGGGAGCTAACCCCATCCAGGGAGAGAACGCCCCCCCTACACACACACACACACACACACACACACACACACACGAGATCACTGAAACTGAGGCTCAGTGCTATTCATTAGCTTAATCAAGTTACTCTGGGACCTAGTGCCATTGATGAGCCATGTTTTTCTTTCTAACCTGAGATGCAATGTCCAAGGCTCCTTTCCTCTCCTGATAGTTCTGTGGCAAGTCCTGTGACTGCCCTGAGGACCGTCAGTTTAGAAGAAAGGACTGGCAAGAACTTCATTCTGCAGCCCAGTCCCTGCCCTGCTACTAGAGGAATGGGACATGTCACATCCCTGTTGAAGTATCTTCGATGACACTGTTCTCCCCTCCCCACATGCCTTCAGGATAAGTCCAAACTCCTTAGCTGAGCTACAGGCCCTCCCACGCAGGCCCCTGCCTACCTGTCCATCTCATCTTCACCCTCTCCCGTTGGACCCCGACACATTCAGCTGCTCTGTTGCTCCAGATCCTGTATCTCAAGGCCTTTGCTCATGCTCTCTGTTTGGAATGACCTTGTTTTTATCTGATCTGCTCCCCCTCACCCTCTCCCCACTGCCCAGGTATCACTTCCTTCAAGCTTTCACATGTCTGTTCCCCATCTGCTGAGAACTGGAACCATTCCTGGTCATCTCTGGACCCCCTTAGCCAGGGAAGGACCAGGCCCACAGTGGGTACTCAGCTGCTGGTGGTGAATGAAAACCCACAGCTGAGGGCATTGAGCATTAAGAGCTAAGGGCAGCCCAGCACTCCAAGGTGGTGGGGGTGTTCCTAAAAGCCTTTTTATTTATTTATTTATTTTAAGTAGGCTCCATGCCCAGCATGGAAACCAACTCAGGGCTTGAACTCACTACCTGAGCTTGAGATCAAGGGTTAGACACTTAAACAACTGAGCCACCCAGGCGCCCCCTAAAAGTCTTTTCTAATACTACTGCAGAGAAAAAAAAATTCACAAATGCTGTTTTTAGTGAAATCATTGGTGGATTTTAGTCTTAAAAGCTAGACTTGGCATATTCCTAAGAACAACGTAAGGGTCTGTTATGCTCTAGGCTCTACGTCAGTCCTAAAATGTCATTGTCAGTGTGACATTGGGGGGCACCAGAAGACCTGTCTGTTTCAAACTGTGCCCCCCCCACCAACACCCCCTCACGTACAGGTGAAGTGATTAAGGTCCAGAAAGGGCAATCACAAGTTGATTGACATTGAAACAGTGAAATGATTCCAGAAATTTCTGAAGTGTAAAGCACTTCTTGGAGACCTAAGTTTCCCATGCATTCCGTAGATGTCGTAACCTTTACCAGGTTCGAGCAGTCTGAAGCGGAGACTGTGTCCTAGGAGAGGCCCTTCCTGCTTTTACTATGTGAGGCACAGAATCACTGAAAGCCAATCTGAGTATTCGCAATCAAGTAGTACTTATTTCAATTGGATGGTGGTCGTGGTGGGGATGGTGATGATGATAAGGGGAGAATTATTCAAGCCACCTATAATTCTAGTTAAGATGATGCTGTACTTTCAGCCTTTCCCTCCTCAAAGAAGGGACAGCCAGGCCCTCTGTCCAGGCACACCCATAATCTCTTCCCACTCACTCACCAGTGCTACCTCACTCTTTTCCTCCTCTACTAGGGAGCTTCATGCATTGAGTCTCCAGGCCAAACTGATTCCTTTTGCCCTTCCTTCTATGATCTATTTCTAGAATCAGAAAGCAAACAAACCATACAACACTTCCCAATTGTTGAGCCAAATTTTCTGATGACAAACCCCTAGACAGAAGAGAAACAGGGCCTCTGAGAAACTGATTACTCTTGCCCAATTTCATCAGGGAAATGCAAATCAAAAGCAATGAAATATCACTTTGTTAGAATGGCTAGAATCCAAAGGACATAGAAGTAACAAATCTTGGCGAGGATGTGGAGAAAAAGGAACCCTTGTGCACTGTTGGTGGGAATGTAAATTGGTACAGCCACTGTGGAAAACAGGTTCCTCAAAAAATTAAAAATAGAAATACATTATGATCCAATAATTCCACTACTGGGTATTTACCCAAAGAAAACAAAAACACTAATTCAAAAAGATATATGCACCCCTATGTTTACTGCAGTATTATTTACAATAGCCAAGATATGGAAGCAACATAAGTGCCCACAAACACACA